TAAGGTAATTTTTTATTTAATTTTACAGTTGTTGTTTTATTCTTTTAGACGATTTGATTAAGTTTTAAATGTTAAAAGTTATTGTTTTTATTTGTCATCACTGGAGTTAGTTTTTATGTGATTCATTAGTTACAGTTTTTGTATACAATTTATTTCATTCTATTCATTTTTTAGCAGCGTTAGTTAGCAATTGTTAATAGTGTTTTTGTTTTTAATGTTATCTGGATTACTTGATATATATAATGTTATTTATCTAAACATTTCGAATCTTATTTTTTCTATCATGTTGTTTTCTACTTTATTTCTGTTTTGTTCTTACCTTATCTGTTTATTTTCTTTCTTCTTCTCTATGTGTTTTATCTATTTTATCATTATTCTCACTTTTCTTTTTCGAACTTATTTTGGAATTTCTTAGGCTGTTATTATTTTTTGGTGATAATGAAGTATGTTTCTCCTCTTTCTGTCGTGTTTTCTTAGACCGTTTATCTTTTGTCGTTCTATTATATAGTCTCTCTATTTTCTTTTAACTTCACTTTTATGATGCTGGAAAAAACCTTTTTTTGTTGTAATGATTGCGTTCTTCTTTGTTTTGTTAGCATATAGTAATGATATATTGAATCTGTTTTCATTTGTTTTATAGTCACATATATATATGAATGCAGTTATTTTTGCCTAGCATATTCTATCTTTATTTAGCTTTGGTAAGTGGCAATAATCATTATAATCAGTTTTGGTCTTTTTAATTCCAGAATAGCCCAAATGTTATTCTCTTTTTTTTTTCTTCCTTTCGTGTGTAGCAATGATGATCAAAAATAACTTTGGCCTCCTTAATTTTGATGAATCTATCCAAAAATTGCCGTGAATAAGCTCTTTATATTTGGGTTTTGATTTTGCTTATTCTCTTGACCAAAACAATTTAAATGCTTTTTTTTGTGTCCTTTAATCCAAATACATCGCATTTTCAGTGCCTATTCCAATTAAATTCCAATTTCATCTATTCTTCTTTATTGGATTTTCCCATATTGCTTTTCTCATAATCTAATATACCTCATTTTCAATAAACAAGTAACATGACTCACTCTTTTGGTCTCTACTATTTTTTTTTCAAAATCATTTTGATCTTTTGGTATTTGTGATTTAAAATTTTGATTCAAAATCTTACTTTTTTCCCGTGCCATCTTTTCCCCTGTTTCTTCTCCTTTTGTTTTATAAAAGCTCTTTGATCTTTGTCTTGCCTTACGATCTCCCAATGCGTTTTTCTTCTTTATGTTTAATTTTTCTCTGCTGTCAGCTTTAACTTCTCTGATTATTTTATTATTTTGATCCAAAAAGAACCTAATCACTACTTAGGTATTTCAACCCTCCCCCAAAAATAACAACATTAGCTCCAACACCAATCGACCCGCAAACACCGAGTCCAAAAAAATTAGGCACAAGGTAAAATGTATTCATTAACCTTTTAAACCTATATTTATCCATAACCTTTTAAACATATATTTATCCACAATCTTTTAAACATATATTTCAAAAACCTTTTCCCATTTTCAGTTCTCGGTCAAAAGAAGCAGAACAGTAAAAAAAAACGTCAAATGACTAAGTAACATAACTACTTTTAAATTAAGACATTTATAATATCCTCAATTACTAATACTTTTTCAAAATTTCCATTTTGCAGTTGAAAAAGAAAGAAGACCACAACAAAAAATAAACATGGCAGCTCAAATACGTTGTATAATACTGTACTATCACAATCACATATCTATTGTATGATACAAAGTTATATAAACATACAAACAAATTTATATAGTGATGTGTAATTATACTATCACAAACACATTTTTTATACAATGCAAAATTATTATCCGACTATCATAACCTTTTATATATACAAAGTTATTACCCCTCGCAACGCGAGGGTACAAAACTAGTACAGACTGTAATATGAGAAAAATAGAGGAAAGTAGTCGTGTCACGTGGGAAAAGGAACAAGTACACTTGTTGCTCAAATATGATCTCTCATTTGCTAAATGGTATTGCGGTTTCTCTTGTGCTCACAGACCCCAGATCAAGGCTTGTGTCTTGTGGGCTATAAAAATGTTTCAGTTTTCGCAATTTCTCTTTCCTCTTTTTGTTTTGTATATTTCCGGTATCTGCTCATCAATATAATTGAACCAAAATGTACTCTAAGATTTCATTTTTATAGTCGGGAAAAAAAAGTAATAGTGGAAAAATAAATGTACGTGTAATACGAATTGAGCAAAGGCTAAGTTTAAATGCCAGCTAAGGTTAAGTTTTTGGTACAAGAAGGCAAGTGAATTTAGCAAGTGGTAGAAAGGTTTTTTTTTTTTTTTTTTCATTTATAATCAATCATTTTGCTGTCATATTAATTATCATATTTGGTATTCATGTCATTCATTATCTCTTCTGGGTTTGGAGCCTGTAATCGCCATGTTTGGTATTCATGTTTTATTGGGCATATACCGAAAGGAGCTTTAAAATTTTGTTCGGAGGAGTTTCATATATTGCGCTGTTCAATTGTTCTCATTTGTAAGTATCTGTTTGAGACAGGCTTTGCTTTGGCTTTTAAGCAATAGAAGAAGAGAAGTAAACGTTTTGGCTTTTTTTATTCTGTTTGGAATCATCTTTTTGAAAAGAAATCAATGGAATATTTAAAAAAAAAGGCTCTCAACTTATAAACTATTATTTAAACTCTGTTATAAGTTTTCAGCTCTTTGCAGGAGAGATTTTTTGGGAAGGTTAGCTTTCTGGCTTTGTCCGGAAGCTTTTTTAGAGGGCTGATGCCCTTTTAACAGCTTATCCAATCACCGTTAGAAGGGGCATAGAAGCCGAACGTTGCTTCTAGGAAGCAATGCCAAACAGTCCTCCAATATCATTGAAATAGTTCCTTGTTTTGTTGTGAGCCGGTTTTTGAACTTATGGATCGCAGTTTCAATTAGAGGGGAAACCATAGTGACTGGTCTGAAGTATTTCGTTATGTGGAGAGAGTATACAATTGAGACTTCCAGAATTGCCTAGAACCTAACAAACAATTAACAAATTCACAACTTCTAACGTAATTCCTAAATCTTTGGAATTGTCTGAACTGCCTTCTTATATGAAGCTGTTGATTCTATATGCTCAAAACAGTTTCTGGTTTGGATAAAATTTGAGCGCCAAGGGTTTAATGATCGATTTTCCCATCTCCTAGGGTTTCGTCTCTTTCTTTGAGCACCGCATTTACTTAATTTGGGAGGGCCGGGATCCGACGCTACCATTGGGTGGGTCACCCTTGGTAGGCGGGTCTCTGGGCGTGCAGATACTCGGCTGAAGATGGTTTTTTGTGGTAGGTCTGGGTTTAATTTGGGGCTGGGTCTCTGTGTTGTTGGAGGGCCTCGGCTGCCATTTGGGGGTGTGTCGCCGCCTGGATGGGCCTACAATTTGGAGGCTTTGGTCCTCTCAGCATCACGTTGCTTCTGGTGGGGTGTGTGGTCTGGTGGGGTCTAGGCGACGACGTTGCGTTTTCCCGCTCACGGGTGGTTTTGATGTTCGTCTGATGCTTTTTCCTTTTCCGGCAGTGCGGCTCGATCTATTCCACTTGGATTCAGAAGCTATTTTGTCATTAGAATCTTTATTCGTGTGTTTCAAGCTCTTTTTGTTTTTAGTTTTTATTTTGATCAAATAAAAGCGATGTTGATTCCACTATCCCTATATTTTTGTGTCGTTACAATGTTTGTTGCCTTGTTTTGTAATAAAGAAGGTGGTTTTCCCACCCTTCGATTTAGGTTGTGTATTTTGTTTGCTAGTTTTGTTTTTATGTTGTGTTATTGCCTTAGTGCTATAGTTTAAGTTTTGTTGAAAGAGTCTTGTGTGTGCTCGATATTAGTTTGCCTTTTGGGTTTTCTAATGATGGAACTTAGTGCATGTTTCCGCTCCTTAGCATTCTATTTAAATTTATTGGTGGATCTAGTTAATATTCGGATCAAGACTTTTTATATTTTAGAGTCGTCTATATTTGTATTAGCAGTTGTATTTCTGTGATTAGGAATGCACTTTTCCATATATATATATATATATATAAACTGTTCCTGGTTTTTGAATTTGTGGCAATTATTGTTTCGTTTTGTTTTGTTTTATTTATGCTGAAACACAAAGGGCTCATTTGACTACATTCTATTTTAATTTTATATTCATAAATGAAATAAATGTTTAGAGTGTTCTGTGTTAAAATGGAATTGTGAAATTAGTAGTTTACAAGAAATATCTAATATCCAATATTATAGGTGAAGTCTTACTTTAATATCCTGTATTTTTAATAATTTTAAATTGTTAACGTTTTGAAAAATCTTTTTTTAATACTTTAAGGTATTTCTGAGACAAAAGATGTCAAATTTGTCCTTAGTAATAATTTTTATTTCGTTAAAAGCTATTACTATTTATTAAACATGTTTGGAGTTGAACTTATCTAACTCAGTTAGGTTCACAATGATCAACTTTTAAAACATAGTAATTTTAAGTCAACCAAATAAGAAATCGATATTAGGCAAAATTCGACATTTCATAACCCAATTTAAAATTATAAAAAATATGAAATACTAAAAAAATATTCCACATAACTACCAAGTTGAAATTGATTATATTTTCTCCGTACAATTGCTATGTGAAACCATGCGTAGTGACCAATAAAGAACTGAGGAAATTGGTACGGGAACAATATCATCACCAAACAAAAACAAATTGTAATATATATATATATATATAGATAACAAATTATAAACTAGTGTCGTTAACAACAATATCATCACCAAACAAAAACAAACTATAAAATATACAATATATATATATATATATATATAACAAATTATAAACTAGTGTCTTTAACGACACAGTGGCATAAAAGTCCATTTGCTAACGTAAGTTAAATTATAAACATATAATAGTAACTAAACAAAAGTCGTTTTAGCAAGAACAAAAAAGTCCTGAATTTGAAATCAGACCCAAGATTAGCACACAAAATTCACCATATGTTCTTCATTAATACCCATCAAATTTACATAATCCAAAAGGAAAGAAACTCATCCATATGGACAATCACTCGGTACACTCTTCCTTTCCTAGTGACTCACTTTCCAGGGACGAAGTTGGTGGCGTAGGCCCAGGCATTGTTGTTGACTGGGTCAGCAAGGTGGTCAGCCAAGTTCTCCAATGGGCCCTTTCCAGTAACGATGGCCTGCACAAAGAATCCAAACATAGAGAACATAGCAAGCCTGCCGTTCTTGAGCTCCTTCACCTTGAGCTCAGCAAAGGCCTCTGGGTCGTCAGCAAGGCCCAATGGGTCGAAGCTACCACCCGGGTAGATGGGGTCGGTGACCTCACCAAGAGGCCCACCAGCAATACGGTAACCCTCAACGGCGCCCATCAAGATGACTTGGCTGGCCCAGATGGCCAAGATGCTCTGAGCGTGGATCAAGCTAGGGTTGCCCAAGTAGTCAAGCCCACCCTCGCTGAAGATTTGGGATCCGGCCTTGAACCACACGGCCTCACCGAACTTGACACCGTTGCGGGACAAGAGCTCGGGGAAAACGCAGCCCAAAGCACCGAGCATGGCCCATCTGGAGTGGATCACCTCCAACTCACGGTTCCTGGCGAAGGTCTCCGGATCGGCCGAAAGCCCAGCGGTGTCCCACCCGTAGTCACCGGGGAATTCACCAGTAAGGTAGGACGGGGGTTCACCAGAGAATGGGCCCAAGTACTTGACTCTGTCTGGGCCGTACCATGGGCTACCTGAGGAAGCACCCCTGGAGCCGGTCTTCCTCATGGAGACACGTCCACCACCGGTAACCTTGTTGGCGGTGGGGGTGAGCTCGACGGCCTTGCCGGCGAATGATGGGGAGGAGAGAGCCATAGTGGAAGCAGCCATGGTTGAGAAGAGAAAAGGGAGATAATTTGATTAAATGGGCTTTCTTTAGGTTGGAAGATTGTTGAGAGAAGACCGTTGGTATGGGTATGTATTAATAGTGGCGTTGATAGTAATGTTCCTTATCCAATGGGTATCTATATCTTGAATCCCATTGGACTGCCAAGATTTTGATGTTTGCATTGGACGCCCATATGGCTCTCTCTCAACCACAAATGCTCTAAGATTCATTAATTTAGCCGTGACCAATGTGGATCTTCCACGTGTAACTTTGAGATTACACACACATCTTCTTGTGTGTAATTTTTTTTTTAATAAGAAATTTTTTTTGTTCATGTCATTTTTTTCCTTTGATGTGATTATCATCTTGAACTATTGATTATTCAAGCTTCAGAAAAATATCTCAAGAAGGCTATGCTGTAGGATTTAAATTCCTTTTCCTTATGAAACAGACCAATTTTATTTTCCTTATGTCTTTACTCCTTTTTTTTTTTTTTTTTTTTTTTTTTTATTTTCTTTTTTTTTTTTTCTCCTTTTTTTTTTTTTTTTTTTTTTTTTCAAGCATAGAACCTTCGTTAACGATGTACGTTGACATGCTAGAGTAGATGCTTTTATGAAAGATGTGTTCATGTACTGGACACGAATATGGAGAATAAAAGAGAATTAATGATAAAATTAAACTGATGGCTGGTAAAATTATGGGATGCGTGGAGTTGTATTCGAAGTTGTGTGAAATGTGATATACTGATTTTAGTGAAGCAATGCATAATTCTTCGCGGGCATAATCTTTCCACGTAAGAACTTCATATTCCACAAACAGATAAAACAAAAAAGAAAAAAGTTGATGTCTGGTAGACGGTATTGCTGTTGAAAATATCTGCAGAAAAACAAACATATAAGATGGTGTTGCCTGAAATTATAGTAATAATAATAATGTGATATATCTGCAGAAAAAATAATAATAGTAATAATAATAATAATAATAAACAAAGAAACAAAAGAAGCAATTTTCTAAAATATTTCTTACTAGCTTCTTAGAACATTAATAATGTGATATATGCCAAAATAGTTGCTAAATCTAAATTAGTGAAGATAAAGCTTCTTGATACATATGTGTTCTGTCATAATTGATGTCCAACCTCTTTAGCAAATAATAATAATAATAATAATAATAATAAACCTATTGCTCTTTTGACTAGTTAACAGAGTGGGAGAAAAATAGTTCGAAACATAAGAATGTTGTCAATTTTCTTTTGGGCACATCAAGATTTCCTTGACTAATCACTAAGTTTTGGTCATTGGCAATTGAATGTACAAGTATCAATACACATTGTTGTTGCAAAAAATATAACAAACGAATGTGCAATTTTGTTTGAACTTCGAGGTTGTACATTGTGGTCCAGCTTAGCCGAGAGATCATAAATAAATTCGGTTTGGTAACATCAAGGATAAAGGCTATCCATATGTACAAGTGTAAGAATCCTATTGGCACAACTAGTGAGATAGTCTATTTGCTGGAGATTTTTGATACATTGGGCATTGGCAGACAAAATAATCCAAGCGAAGGGTAAGTCGTAAGTGGCTGAGAGAGCGCCAAGTGGACATCGAAAATCAAACCCACAATGTGTCACAACCAATGAGATTACAGATATTGATCTCCTAAGATAAGGACCCTTTCCTCAAAACTCATATTTATATGGGCCACGCCACGAAGCCCAACCATAAGCAACCATCAAACTAGTTCCTCTTGTACAACTTTGAGCATTCTTGTTTGTTACCACAAATTTCTCAATGGCTGCTTCAACAATGGCTCTCTCCTCCCCATCATTCGCCGGCAAGGCCGTCGAGCTCACCCCCACCGCCAACAGGGTTACCGGTGGTGGACGTGTCTCCATGAGGAAGACCGGCTCCAGGGTTGCTTCCTCAGGTAGCCCATGGTACGGCCCAGACAGAGTCAAGTACTTGGGCCCACTCTCTGGTGAACCCCCGTCCTACCTTACTGGTGAATTCCCCGGTGACTACGGGTGGGACACCGCTGGGCTTTCAGCCGACCCGGAGACCTTCGCTAGGAACCGTGAGTTGGAGGTGATCCACTCCAGATGGGCCATGCTCGGTGCTTTGGGCTGTGTTTTCCCCGAGCTCTTGTCCCGCAACGGTGTCAAGTTCGGTGAGGCCGTGTGGTTCAAGGCCGGATCCCAAATCTTCAGCGAGGGTGGGCTTGACTACTTGGGCAACCCTAGCTTGATCCACGCTCAGAGCATCTTGGCCATCTGGGCCAGCCAAGTCATCTTGATGGGCGCCGTTGAGGGTTACCGTATTGCTGGTGGGCCTCTTGGTGAGGTCACCGACCCCATCTACCCGGGTGGTAGCTTCGACCCATTGGGCCTTGCTGACGACCCAGAGGCCTTTGCTGAGCTCAAGGTGAAGGAGCTCAAGAACGGCAGGCTTGCTATGTTCTCTATGTTTGGATTCTTTGTGCAGGCCATCGTTACTGGAAAGGGCCCATTGGAGAACTTGGCTGACCACCTTGCTGACCCAGTCAACAACAATGCCTGGGCCTACGCCACCAACTTCGTCCCTGGAAAGTGAGAGAGCCCAATGAATTGAGACTTGAGTGTGTATGTGTGTGCGCGCACGTTTGTATGTAATGGATCTTAGTGTGGACTTTCTCGAGTTATCCGATGGAAAAAGCCATTGCACGAAATTGAATCACATCATGATGTACTACTAATCTGAGTGAAATCAAATGTCTCATTTTTTTTTTTTTTCCAAACCTTTGTTTTCTCTTGTCATTACATTAATTAGTAATATTTGGAATTAGTGATTTGATGGCTTATTTATGTCGTTGGCATAGAGATAATATAGCAATATGAATAGGCATACTATCAGTTGCTCAATACTATAGTCCAAAGAAAATCTCATACAGTGAAGTATGAATATTGAGAAAGTGTTTGGTTCGTGGTCCAAATAATGATTTGTTTTTTTAAATCCAAATATTGAGCATTCTAAAAGCTAAATGTGCATAAAGACCATACTGGAGTCGACTCAGTTAGTTTTAAAGTTTATATAATTTGAAGAGAAGACAAAATATTTCAGGAATGGTCATTGACCTTTTGCCTTTCTTATTCTTCGTTATATACTTCTCCATACTTGTACCTACTGCCTACTGTAACTGGGAAAGACGATAGGGAAGAAAAGATGGACATGTAGCTTTTAGATGAGAAAAATGGTCAAGAAAGAGTGATTTTCTCCTACTGTTTTTAATATGAATTTCTTTAGTTTGCTAACCTTTTTATATTGGAAGAGATTAAAATAGGAGTTCTTCACTAGATCAAACGACATGTGATAGAGTAGAGTGAGGAAATTTATTGAGATATAAATCGACATCACATAATATCAAAAAAGAACGAGAAAATAAACTTGGGTACCTTAAAGAATTTAAAATCCCTCATCCAAATTATTTCTCATCTTTTCTTCTACTGAACAATAATGGATTCTAAAATCCATCTACTAATCATCTCAGTCATCATCCTCATTTAACTTTCTTTTCTTACCAAACAAGTCCTTTAAGTGCAACATTTTAATGGAGACTACTAGCTTGGACATTTTTTTTTTTGTTTTGTTTTTTTCCCTCAAGATCACTTCTAATGTAAAGGTCAATGTCAATACAATATTTTCTTTTGTGGGATTGTAAAAGTTGTAATTGATACTAAAAAACATGAAATTAACATATTTGGTATGTTACTCTTTGTTGTACTATAATGCATATTTTAGATGTTATATTCATTTTTTTGTCATAATTATTAAGTTTTGTAACTTGTAAATGCAAATTTTTAATTTCAAAATAATTTAAAAAATGATTATATTATATGAAATAAAAAAATCAATACATCTACTAGTAGTTAAATGTCAAAAGTTGATACCAAAAATTACACATATCAAAATTTAGTTAAAAAATAACATCATAATAAGGAATAGAGTAATTACCAATTTGGAGGTTAAAATTTAGCACAGCAGCTGCTAGGGCCCCTTCGGTTCGCTAATTCGAGTTTTTAATTCGAGTTGAGATGTGATGTTTTGTGAGAGCTTTTTACTGGAATAAAAAAGTTATGTGACTGTTTCTGAGAGCTTTTTACTAAAATTGTATATTTGACTTAACTAGAAAGTAAAAACGACATATTTTCAAAAGGGCAAAAAGAAACGACATATCGTTTTTCCAGACAAAGATATTGGAAACCACGACTGCCTTAGCACTTGAACAGTTTTCGTTCTTGTTTCTCCCTACCAGAAATATTTCTTTCGAGTTTTAAACAAAATTTCCTAATTAAATGTTTTATTTTCAGAAGAGAGAACATTGAGCAAAAAAAAAAAAAAAAAAAAAATGAAGCCACCTCCGTCTCTGCACTCCAACTTCTTCTCCTCTCTTAAACAGGTAATTAATTTATTTCTTTCCATTCCCAACATATGTTTTATACTTTTATTACTTATTTTCGCTTTTGTTTTCATCGTTTTTTTTGTTTTTGTTTTTGTTTTTGGGCATTAATTTCATAGGTAGAGAAGAGACTGAAGTTAGAACACTCATCACAGACAAAACCCTCCACACTTGAACCATCAAAACGGCTAGAAATCAACAATTCATCACTAGAAGAATCACTGAGTTTGCCCATTTATATGTACTTGGACCAACCAAACGACAATCAAATTTCTCCCACTTTACAGGAAAGTAGTGAACTTCCTCAGGCATTTCTCTCATGTTCCCCACAATTCCCACCAACCCATGAAAACCCACTCCACCCGAATGGCCTAGACCACCAGGAAACTGAAAATGAAAATGAAAACGAAAACGAAGCTGTTGATGATATTCAACAATTAATTCAACTTCTGGGTTTATCTGATTATGAACAAAAACTTGAAGGAAAAAAAGTGGAAGTAGAAAGAAGGGTTGGTTTTGGTTGTGGCTCTTGTCATTGTGAAGGCGGGTTTTATTTGAAGATTGCCGGAGTGAAGGGCCCGAAATGCGGGAAGGAGGTGGAGAGGTTGGAGGGTTGGATAAAGTATTTTTTGAATGGTGGTTGTGGTGAAGAGAATGGGATTGAGCCTTTGAGGTTGGCACTTTTGCTTTTGGGGAAAGCTGCTTTTGTTTCTGGAGGTGGGGATTGTGGTTTTGGAGGCTTGGACTTCCCATCTGCTATTGAGGATTTTTTGATGGATGATCCACCAACAAGTTAGGTTATACACCACGTATTTCAAATTTTGTTTTCGACTTTTGTTTTCAAGTTTTGTTTCTGTCTGATTATCTTTTTAAAGCGAATTAATGTGGAATGAATATATGATCAACTGGGGATGGCTGAATTTCTTGTAAAAAAAAAGGTTTGTTGTGCGAGCTTTTGGTCTTTATTGAAAATGTCACGTTTGAAGCATTCAATGATGATTGATGTATCATGTAGAGTTTTTAGTGATCCAATGTGAATTATATTTCTCTCGTGTTTGTTATTTTTCTTTCCATTTTCTAGACTTCTGTAAAAGAACATATACTATATAATCTATATATTTGTATGCAAGAAACTATCCTGGCATTGTAGTTGGTAAAACATAATTAAATTATAGAAAACATATGGAAAATAACTTTCTATACAAAAGGATGCATTTAAGATTCCAATGCTCATTGACCATTGATAATATTACAAGGTGGGTTCTACAAAATGTTCTCATCTCTTTTTCTCTGCAGCTAAGCTATGAGCACCAAGCTCAAATCTTGGCTTCAAAGGAAGAATGATAGGTTATCAGGGAGTCCTCTTGAAACTGGAATCTCAGATAAAAAGAAGTGCAATATTATAAATCGATTCCACCTTATGACATGTTCTTGTGAGAATAGTCTTTATTTCAAGTATTTAGTCTATCCCTTTTAGTTTCAAAAGTGTTGACAACACAGCTTTCATGTTGGGACGGTTCTCTGGAGTCGGATTGGTGCAGAACAAGGCAAGTTTAAGCAGCTCTTCCAGTACTTCCTCCTGGTTTTTGGAGACGTTTAGAACTAGTACAGGGTCCAGAATTTGAAGTAGCCTACCTGTGCCATTTTCTAGTGCTCTCTCCACCAGTTGGCGCAGGCTGATGGGCATCCCTTCGTCTTCTATGAGTCCTGTTGGTCTTTGCTTTGTCAGGAACTCCATCACAATCACACCGAAGCTGAACACGTCCACCTTTGTTGTGACTTTGCTCATGTATGCAAACTCTGATAAGAACCAAGTGACATAAGTGGAAGCAATCAGCTTGAAACGATTGAAAGATTACTGGTGGCAGAAGTAACTATGAGCTCAGATATTTTAATAAAACAAACATACGTTGTATGGTAAATGCGGAGGTGGGATATTATACTACATATGCAAGAAAGTGCTGTATAATCAATTGAGGAGAAGAAAGAGAAAAAAATATAATCAGATCAAGTAATTATAGTGAAGAATGATGATCTGCTTAATGGTTTAGTAGGGTTGGCAAAGAGTTACCTGGTGCCAAGTATCCAACTGTGCCATCAAAAGCTGATGATGAAGAAAGGCTACTTCCATTCTGCTGATGAACACCAAGCATTCGAGCTGTCCCAAAATCACTCACGTGGGCCACCCAATCACCATCCAACAAAATGTTTGAAGGTTTTAGATCACAGTGAACAATGGGGAAATCATAGCCAAAATGCAAGTAGTCCAAACCGTTAGCAATTGAAGCACAAACATTGATTCTCTCAGATAGCGTCCATCTTGACTGATCCACTCGGTCGTTGTGTATAACACCATCCAAGTTCCCATTTTCCATGTATTCAAGAACTAAGGCCTTCAACTTTCCACTTTCCCAAGCATACCCAAGTATCTTCACCAGATTCCTCTGCCTCAGCTGGCCAAGGGTCTTGATTTCCCTGTTGAAGGACTTATCCGACTCTGCAGGGAACTGCTTCAGGTTCAATCTCTTTATTGCTGCAGTCTGGCCATCTTCCAATCGACCCTTGTACACGGTGCTCAAACTGCTGGAACCTATGACAGTATCTTCACTGAAGAAACTTGTAGCAAGTTCTAAATCCTTCGGATCATACCTCTTGAGGGGCAAGGCCAAAGCGTAATCTGGTTCCAGACTTTCATCTTTCTCCGCTTTACTCTTTTTTGTGCGTCGGACGAGGACTAGAACAGTTAAAACCAGAACTAAAAGTACAGAAACAGATCCAAGTGCAACGAGAATCAACATAGTTTTCTTTGATAACCGGTGTGAACTTGTCTTGCTGCATGCTTTCGGAAGTCTGGCTCCACAAAGATTTGGATTGCCTTCTAAGCTCGACACGTTTAGGCTCTTGAAAATTCCGGTTTCTGGAACACGGCCCTCAAGCTGGTTATAAGAGAGGTTCAGGTGTTTCAAGGTAGATAAGTTGGAAAGGCTATGTGGCATGATGCCCTTCAGCTGATTATGAGAAAGGTCAAGGGACCTCAGGTGCTTTATATTGGCCAACTCTTCAGGCAGTTCACCATCTAATTTATTACTCGAGAGGTCCAGGTTTGTGAGCATGCCCATTCCAGCAAGAGCTTCAGCTGGAACTGGGCCTGTGAGATTGTTCCTTGACAAATTAAGGGAGACTAGATTGCTGCATCCTTTGATCGCCTTGGGAATGATTCCGCTAAGCTTGTTATTGGAAATGTCAATTTCTTGTACCATTCCCAACATTCCAAGCTCATTTGGGAGAGCTCCCTCCAAGTGATTGGATGAAAGGTTCAGATATATTTGCACTTCTTGTATACTTGCAATCAGAGACCCAGTAATCGGTCCCGAGAGATGATTGTGAGAGAGGTCCAAGGTTGTAAGTTGACTGCGGCGTCCCATGCTTCTTGGAATTGATCCATTGAGCATGTTTCCATGGAGATCCAAGAATGAAAGCCACTCAAGTTTTGAGATGGCATCCGGAATAGGACCTGTGAATCTGTTGCGATGCAAATGAAGTTCAGTAAGTTGTTTCAATTCAGAAAATTTCTCCGGTATGATTCCTTCTAAAGCATTGTCATGCAGGTCGAGTCCTTGGAGTTGAGTGAGTTTAAACAACTCTGGTGGAACTAGACCTGAAAACCTATTCTCGGAGAGTGCAAGGATAACAAGACTGCTTAAATTCCCGATGTCGGGAGGAATTTGTCCTACAAAGGAGTTTGATTTGACTAAGAAAAGCTGGAGATTGATGAGCTTGCCAATGCCTGGTTTTAGGGACCCACTAAAGTTATTCATTGACAACTCCAACTTCTGAAGATTTGAGCAATTGAAGAGGTCATCTGGGATTTCTCCAAACATTTGATTGGATCCCAAGAGCAGATAAGTCAGGTTTGGCAAATTCCCCAAACCCTGAGGAATTTTCCCAGTTATTCCATTAAGTGCCAAATCTATTCCCAAAAGCCGGGTACAGTTTGTGATACTAGATGGAATGGATCCCTCAAGGAGGTTATTATTGACGCTCAAGTTCTTAAGATTATAAAGCAATCCTATATTTGATGGAAGCTCACCTGAGAGAAAATTGGAACTCAAGCTCAAATAAGTCAGATTTGTCAAGTTTGTTACTGAAGAAGGTATCTTCCCTCCAAACCTATTGGAATGCAGTGTCAACACTTTTAAGGATTTTAAATATCCAAGCTCAGATGGCAGATTTCCAGTTAACTCATTCTGTGAGAGACCTAAACGAGTCAAGGAATTTAGTCGAAACAAGGAAAACGGGATGGTCAAACTTAGCCTATTTCCGTACAACAGCAAGATTTCTAGGTGGACCAAATTACCAAGTTCAGAAGGAATGCCCCCAGTTAACTGGTTGGTACTTAGTTGAAGACTAACAAGTTTCTTACACAGACCAAGTTCACGTGGGATTTCCCCATGTAAAGAATTCTCATACAGAATCAAATATTCCAAGTTTGACAGATTTCCGATCTCGGAGGGAATTACTCCAGACAACTTGTTCTGGCTCAAGCTAAGACTTTGCAAAGATCCTAACTTCCCAATGGAAGGAGGAATTGAACCTACCAACATGTTGCCATATGCTAAAAATATCTGAAGATTGGTTAAACTCCCAATGTTTGATGGGATTGTGCCAGTAAGATTGTTAAAATTGACAGCAAAACCTAACAAGGAAGTGCAGTTGCAAATGCTCTCAGGGATGCTTCCAGTTAGAAAATTTTCACCTAAATCTAAATATTGCAGATTTATCAGGTTTCCTAATTCTGATGGAATATGCCCAGAAAGAGAATTTTGATACAGAGATAGCTCAGAGAGCTGGGAACACATTCCAAGTTGAGCTGGAATGTGCCCTGTGAATGAGTTTTGAGATAAATCAAGAACCTGGAGGCCTGAAATGTTGCCGAGGAATGGGGATATCTCGCCTTCGAGTTGTCTGCCAGCCAGGGAAATTGAAATGACACGACTTGAGGAGGGCTCGCAGGCAATGCCGGACCAGTTGCAGTGGTTGTGTTCACCCTTCCAATCTGCAAGTGCTCCAAGTGGGTCATTGGTGATGGAGTTCTTGAAGGCTTTCAAGGCCTCAATCTCTGTTTCCAAGCTGGGTTCAGCTGATGGAACAGTAACAAGAATATAGGAAAGTATTATGATGATCAAACTCATAACTCTTTGAGAAGCCATTAGTTGGTATACGAAATACTTGGTACTTAATGCAATATATATAGAGATTCAGCCACTTAATGACCCCAGAAAGTTATGCTGTTAGTATCAAGATGTGAAAACCGCCAGACGACTATAAAAGATTTGAAGAAAAATATGATGCGTTGAACCACGATAATGAATCCAATTTTGACTCTGGAGTCATCCCAAAATGACTACCTATTGTTTCCATTAAAGACAGATAAGGATATATGTTTATATATATTCTTATATATATATATATATGTCCTACCACCTCCCCATTACATCCAGAACAGGAAACAAGGTATGCGTGTGAAATGAAAAGTCATTTATAGTTTAATTTTGTTTTCTTCTTTTTTAGAGCCTTTTAGATAATGCACATTTCTAATCGTGGGTTTGAATCAAAATCAAAATCAAAAGAAAAAAAAATGTAAAACTATCAGAATCCAATATGTATAGTGGGGCCTTTGTATGAATGGAGTGGAGTGTGGATTATGAAGTGAATGGCTGTAGTTTGCTAGTTTTGGCAAATGCAATTGGCTGAGTGCTCTCTAACTTTGAAGCACAAGTTGCATATTTGGGGCCGAGTTTGGCACCAGAGAAAAGGCCAAAACAAAAGGCAATTCGACTTTTGGGATTCAGCTTATGCCGACATGTGAGTCCACTGTCCATTTTCGTAGAGTTTATTATTGTATTGTCACTAGCATGAGAGACGCGTCCCCGTTTGTAATTTTTTTTTCAACTATATAATTTTCATGCTTTTGGTTTTTTTTTTTTTTTTGTGCAAAAAAATTACTTTAACAAAATAATTACAATTATCTTCTTTAATTGTTTCTTTATTGAAATACTGAAATAAGTATGCAGATAATTCAACTTATAGTTTGAGTTGAACTTAAAGATGTATAACATGCTAAAAATTGTTTTAATTGTTAATAAATATAGTTAACCTAATTAATATTTTTCTAATTGAAAAATCGTATAATGAAATTTTTCAAAAAAAAAAAAAAAAAAATGAAGTGTAAACTCACTAGAAAGTCGCTAAATTCAGCAATTTCATATTATGTATGATGATGGTTAAAAAAAGTACCCAAAAAAAAATGCATCTATTCTCCCATATATATATATGTGTATATATATATATATGCGCGCGTGTATGCAGCAAAGAGTATTTAAATATTTATGTGTTGAAAATATTTACGGAAAAAAAAAACTATTTGAGATGCATAGCCCGATTTAGTCATCATTGTAGGTTTTTGATCCGAAGAGAGTGGATCTAAAATGCTTCAACCCTTATTGACCAAAGCTTATAATCTAGAGGGAATATATCCTTAAGAGTAAATGCTGAATTTTTATCTCTTATTATTAATTAATATTTTTTTAATTAAATAATTATTTAGTTAAAAGTGTATTAATTAAGAATAAAAAGTAAAAATCTTAATCAATACACTTTAAAAATAAGATCATCAATTTTCCCAATACTCTAAGACCCATTTTGAAAACTGAAACGTGTGTTTTGAAATAAACAAGTTTTTTCCCTTTAAGAAAATGCAAACAAGAAAGCATTTGATGTAAAAAGGGTAAATTAATAAAAAAAAAACATATATTTTAATGAGAAACAACAAAAGTACAATATTTAAAAAAGAACAAGCAAGTATTAATTAAAATAAAAACATGCAATAGCAAAAGGATGGAAGACAATTTATATATAAGTATGCAAACAAGGAGATCCCGTTAGTAACAATTCTTTTTTATAAAAAAAAAAAAAAAAAAAAAAAAAAAAAAAAAAAAACTCTGCAATTGCCATGTTTTTCGGAAAATTTATTTAAAACTATTAAATATGATAACTAATGTTTCAATAAAAAATATTTTTTAATCATTTCTCTGTGAGAATAAATAAATAAACACACTAATAATTCAATTTATAATTTAAGTTGAACTTGAACATGACATGCTAACAATGTTTCTCTGTATTTAAGAAAAAACTAGAATTACCACTTAAGATGGTGAAAAATATAATTTACGCCACTCCATTAAAAAATAAACAATTACCATTCAATTAATAAAGTGAAAATGAAATGCCATAATAGTAACTAATTTTTAGAATGACATAAATAATAAGTATACATAAAATCATAACAACCCATGTACTTTTATCTTTTTTTATTTTTTAAGGGATGCTAATAATGTTTTAATAACAATAAATATAAATAAATATAGTCAAGTTATAATTCTTTTTCAAACTACAAAATGATATCATAAACATTTTTACAATAAAAGTCTACATTTATTAGGAAAAAAAATAAAGAAAGGAAAAGAAAAAAAGAAGGGAAAAGATGCAAAAATGCAAAATGAAAAGTGAATAAAAAGCTTGAAAGCAAGCAAGCAACCTGTTCGAACTGGGTTGCTTTCGTAATTCCTAATAAAACATTTTATTCAGTAAAAAAAACAAAAAAAAAAAAGACAAGCAACCTAAAAATGCCTGACTGAACCAGCTGTAAATATAAGCCGTCCGATCATTTGTCTGACTACTTAGGCTGGCAACTTGCTGGCAACTTGCAGAAAAAAAAAAAGAAACAATTAAAAATGGGTCTAGTTTGTTTTAATAGCCATCGAAGAGCAAGGGAGAGTGGATAGCCACACAGACTTGCTGCAATAGTCGCTTTCATACTGTTCCTTCTTTTGTTGCCGCGTAGCAAATAAAGTTATCGCCCGTTGTAAATTGTAATATATATATATATATATATATATATAAAAGAAATTACAGGGATGATTTTTTAGAAATCTATTATTCATACAATTTCTAATAATTAAGTGTCACTGTAATTTTTTATTTTTTTATATTAATTAAATGATAATTATTTATTTGTTAGTGGTATAGTATAAATAATATTTTTTTAACATCTTGAGTGGTATTTTAGTTTTTTCTCTTTATTTTACCAAAATTTGTGTAACTTATGGGTCTAATTACTCTCTTCTTCTTAAAAATAGTTTCCATTCAGATGGGATAAAACCTTATCATTCACAAAATAGTAGTCCCACTAAATTGGATCTCATCTACCCACTTAGATCCGATACTCAACGTTACAAATATGAATTATTGAGTTCTGCTCGCTCATTGCTCTCTCAAATCTAATCAACTTAGGATATTTTCTCAATCCAAATAAAAATAAAAAAACTGAACAGAACCAACTCATCGAGAAATCTAATACGTACGAAGTGTTCTTTTTTTTTTTCAAAGGTTGTTATATATGTGTCTTTTTGATGTTTATGCTATCATAAAATATTAGAAATGTGTTATAATATAAATTTCCGCAATTTTCATAGTTTTTTTTCAATATTTCAACTGATATTGTGATTTTCTCTAAAATTTTTGTAAAATTAGAGTACCGATATTTCTATCGATATTAATATTTTCATCTTTGGATAGTACGTGGTTTGTCATTCTCGGCCTTTGTGGGTCAGATCGTGGTTGTCAAAAGTTAGAACATATGAGTTGAGACAATACTCAGCATCAAGACCAACAATTCATCCGCCTTATTAATGCAACACACAATTCAGACGACAATCAAAACTTACAATTTAATTGGCACATCTTACATATATCTAATTGTAAGTCAATTTTCAAGTGAGTTATGTGTGTGTGTTTTTTTAGTTCTTTTTTTTATAAAATTTGAGTTTTGTTTGTTGTTCCAGTTGTTTCTTTCTTTCTTTGTTTTTTCCCTCTTAGAAAATTAAGTTTCACAAAATAACGAAGAAGAGGTGTTCAAAAAATCTATCAAACCCATCTAAACTGCTCAATTCAAACTAAATAGAACCAAATCGTTAATTATTTTTGAATTATTGGACAAATTGGTTCGCATTTTAATCTAATTTTTTTGTGTGGTTTGGTTTTTGATTTGAAATCTCAAAACGGCCCAAACAGCCTAATAATCAAACCAAAAGTATACATATGTTTTTTTTATTTTTTTAAAATATTTTTTTATTTATTTTGGTTTTTATTAATCATAATAAAAGTACCACTTATAAAATACGCTCTATCACATTTTTGTTGGTTGTATTAAAACTTTAAATAGTGAATTTTTAGACATTTATATTTTTGAGTTATATTATAAACTTGAATCTTATCTTATTTTTATGGATTAACTTTTTTATAATTTTTGTGAATTATAAAAAACTATTTTAGTCTTAACCTAAAACTGGTTATGAGTGATTTGGTTTAATTTGGCTTTTGTCAAAGTTATCAAATCACCTAAAAAGAAAAAATATTTTTTATTTAGTTAGTGGTTTTCCAAAAAAAAAAAAAAAAAAGCCTAAATTGATCGTGGTGACATGTGAGAAGAGAGCCTTTGACTCCTTTTATTAGTTATTTTTTTTCTTTATTTCTTTATTTTTTTATTTTTATTTATCCTTCTTTTTGTGGTTTTTTTAGGACTTTCTCTGGTTGAACGTTTTTATCGTTAGGATCATTTTTAAACGTTAGATATGGTCAAAATAAAAAAAAAATCTTTTTAATACTCATTTTTTATTTCTTTTATCTTTTTTCACATTGAGCGTACACACGCAATTAGTAAATCTAAAAACTAAAATTTAAGATAATTTTTGTTTATTTTTTAAACATCAACCAAACTATTATTTTTTTTTTCTTTTTGGAATTCTCTTTTTTTTTATGTAAAAAAATATGTTTTTAATCAACAAAAGGACTTTTTTGGTTCCAAAACGGATCCAAATTATGAAATGATATTTTCTCAGATAACATGTTCCCGATAAAATTTCTCAACAACAAAGACACTAGCATGATAAAAGTGTTAGATTGCAAGGCACAAAATAGTAGTTCTCTCTAGTACTACTCAAATCTCTTCAAGAATTAATTTTGAATAACGTATAAGTGAGTTTTTATTAATTTTAGATAACGTCTAAGTTTTTTTTTAAATATTTATAACGGCATTAGTGTGTGATTAGGATTGTATATGGTTTTAGCATGTATTTAAACGATATGTGTACTAAATTTGACTTTTAGAGTATCGAAAATAAAATCCACGACCATATCACAAAATATCTGCCTAGTATATACACCTGGACCTGGTATCGAAAAAAGCTACA